CAGGAGGCCAATAAGCATACGAAAAGGTGCTCAATCTTTACTAGTCATCAGGAAAACGCAGATAAAAACAACAAAAAGATATTACTGCACAACCAAAAGGGTGGCAAAAAAAAGAAAGAAAATCTAATTGTACGAAGGACTGATGAAGTAGTAGAGCTATAAGGATTTTCACCAAAGGCTGCTGGAGGAAGTATAGATGAGCACAATCAATTCTGAAAAAAGCTTAGCATGATCCAGTCATCAAGTATGGTATCTATCCTATGGAAATGTGTTTACATGCACCAGGATTCATGTATAAGAAAGATCACAGCAGCACTGTTTGTAATAGTCAAAAACTGTGAGCAACTTCCAGGGTTTGCAACAGTAGAATGCATAAACTGTGATATAATCCTACAGTGTGTTACACAGCCGTGAAAACAAATGGCTACATCCACACACAACATGGATGGCCCCTACAAACATCATCTTGAGCAAAAAAGCAGCACAACTACACACAGAATAATTCTATTTCTATAAAATTCAGGAACAGGCACTAATAAATTACATTTTTCAAGGAGGTAGACTTAAATGTTAAAACTATAAAGAAAAACAAAGAAATGGCTATCATAAGACTCTCCTCTGAAGAAAGGGAGAGAAGGGCCTCTGGGGTGCTGGCCAAACCCACCTCTAACATCAAGGGTACAAACAGAGGCCCACGTACCAGTGTGTCTAAATAGTTAAAAGACATGAAACAAGCTTACAAACTATTAAATAAAATACATTCTATCCTCCTATCATGACAACTATGCCTTTATAACTGCCTGGGAAACCAAATTCATACTGAGAACTTTTGGATTCCCTGGAGTTCCGTGTGGAAACCTACCTGGTGGTGCCAGGAAAACTGGCCACTGGCCTCCTGCACAGCGCCCCCTCCTCTACCCCATACTGCCAAGGACCTCGCACACAAGCATGCGGTGACATCCAAGCTCCACCCCATACCCTACTCCCCACTAACAGCCACCCTTGGGCCCTCCCTTGGGCCTGGGCTGTACACACCAGCAGCCCCGTCTACCCTCAGAAAGATGGCCCCCAGGAAGAGACTCACACAGGCTCTGGAAATAAGCTCAGGGCCATCTGGGCAAGAAATTCTGATATCCTAGGTGCTCTATGCGTGGTCTAGGATGGAAGGGTTCAGGTTCCAAGGGGACACGTCCCATAGGCCACACAGGCTCCTTGCCCCATGGAAGAGTCCAAAGCAGGGTCCTCTAAAGCACAGGGCAGAGAGCCCTCTGGCAGGAACCACGCAACATTCTCTTTCTTAACCTACACAGCAGCAACGTGCGTACTCACTTTATAATTATCTGTTTAATGAGATACCATCTCACCCCGGTCAGAATGGCTATCATCAATAAATCAACAAACAACAAATGCTGGCGAGGCTGTGGGGAAAAGGGAACCCTGGTGCACTGCTGGTGGG